GTCTACATAACTCGAGACTGATTCCCTGTGAATGCCGTTCAGGGCCTATTGGTAGGCTGACGGGTCCAGAGGTTGTTTAATGAACCTCTGGACTTTGTCCGTCAGTTCGTAGAGATGCCTCCTGACGTGCCTTGGCGAGGGCTCTTCTGCAAGCAGACGATCGCACGGGCGCTGCACAGTTTAGAACCGGCCGGCCAATTGCCTTGTATGTTGCCAACAACGTTTCTTTATCTTTGCCCCAAGTGCTGCCGGCCAGCGACTTAAGGACATTGTTGCGGCTCTGTACATTGTTGACAATTACGGCTGCATGGTGCCGAGAAGGAGACCAGACTGTCGAAGGTAACTCCGAGAATTTTCGGGTATTTACTGTCAGTATTGCTATGCCATCGGCGTGAATACACAGTTGCAGTCTGACCTCTTCGTCCAGGTGGTGAATAGGGTTGCCAAGGATTTCCCAGGGGATAGGGCAAGGCTCCTTGCAGTGAAGAAAGTTCGGCGAGATAACCGTTTTCTTTCGGGCACAAGTCATCAATTCCATTCCCGGACGCCATGATCGAACAATCGTCAGCATAGGAGACAATATTGACACCCTCTGGTGGTTGAGGGAACTTTGAGATATAGTAATTAAACAGAAGTGGGGATAGAACAACACCCATGCTGATGCTTCGCTGGGGTCAGGTGGTTCATTAAATACGGGAGTAGCAAGGCAGGAAGTGTCTTCGCTACCGGTTTGAGCAGTGGGACCACTCTCCCCATTTTCCAGATGGCTGGAATCACGAGAGTGGCAATAGACAAATTGAGGACCTCCGTTAGGTACGCTACTCCAGCAGGATCCAAATTTTTTAGCATCAACATGCATATTCCGTCGGGTCCAATGGCTTTGGAGGCTTTTGCCTTCCCGATGGCTACCCTCACCTCACCGCTGGTGAAAATAAGAGGCGCACAGGGTTTTGGAATTTTGTGCAGCTTTCTGGTCACTCGACGTTTGGCTTTATCCACCGGAGGATGCAGAATGAACTGCCGGCTAATGTAGGTCGCGCATCGCTCCGAGGCCGACGAAGCGTGGTTCTCTGTGGAAGTCTGTTTCAACTCTGTCGTTACGCTTCGCCGGGTTGGACAATGACCTCACGGTTGACCAAAGCGTACTCACACCAGAAGCGAAGTTGCAGGTCTCAGATGCTGTTCCCATTTCTTCCGCTTATGTACGTTCACAAGTTGCCGAATCTCCGAATTGAGATCCCTGATACGGGGATTTCCGGGATTGGCCTGAAGAAGGCTGTCGCGCTCATCAGCTAGAACAGCCGCTTCAGCAGAAAAGTTCGGACGTGGATCCTTAATACATACTGCTGGGATAAAGCGAGCTGCAGCAGCAGTGAAAACCCTGCGGAACTTACGTTCACCTACATGAACGTCGGTTGGTATAGGAAGTGCAGTGAAGACGCCCTCAGTAACATCCGCGAAGCCTTTCCAGTCAGCTTTGGAAAAGTTGACATAGGTCCGGTGATCCGCGGAAGCAAAGTCGGCAGGTTTATCAATCGAGATGACTATGGGCAGATGGTCTGATGCTAGGAACAGCATAGGTCGCCATTTTACGCTGTTTATCAGACCAGCGCTGACAATTGTTAGATCTGGCGAGCTGCAGCAGCTGCCCATAATCCAGGTGGGTGCATCGTTGTTCATTGTGCAGAATGTCGAATCGTCTATCTGCTCAGCCAGATGTATTCCCCTACGATCATTTGACAGGCTTGAGTGCCAAAGAGCGTGGTGTGCGTTAAAGTTGTCAACTACCATACGGTTTTCACCTCTGAGTAGCGCACCTATTTCAGGGTGATATCCTGCCCTGATAGTAGAACCTCACTTTATATACTGCCCTACGATTTTCTTCCTAGCGGGGGACTCGCAGGTAGAGAAGCTGCGAAAAATGCAAAACCGAGGGATGAGATTCATCCTCAACAAACCGTACGACACACGACGAGGTATGCTTGAAATCTTGAATTGGTTGAGCGTGAATCTCCGTTATATAAATGGGACCCATACATCCCGAAGTATAGAACGGAAGTGGACAAAAAAATATTTTTTATAAAGGCTAAAAGTGGTTTAATGAATTACCAGACGTTAGAAAAAATTTTGATACTATCACTCTCTTCAAGAGGCTGCTATATGACTATTGTAGAACGCAGCCTATTAGATAGTGATGTATGAACAATAGCGTGGATTGGAAACTAGGACTTTCCAACCAGCAAGATATCGCGACTAGGTGGATCGGAAACTCGGCCTTTCCGACTACCTAAAGTACATTAAAAACCTTAGATCATAAACAATAAATGAGCGGATTGGAAACTAGGCCTTTCCAACCGTCACGAAAGCGCGACTGGGCGGATCGGAAACTCGGCCTTTTCGACCAAACAGGAGATATCAAGATACGGAGTTACCCAAAAAGTATAGCGCGGATTGGAAACGCGGCCTTTCCAACCGTCTACATAACCTCCGGACAATGGCATGCTCTTATGTTGTTGTAAAATAATTGCAGTGGCAAAAAAATAATGTTATTTAAAAATTTCCTTAGAGCATATCATATTAAATACTTAAATTTTAAATCTAAATCTAATTCTAAGAATGTTAAATCATTTTTGTAATATAAGTCTAACAGACTGTAAAACAAAAATAAAAAAAGATAAAATAAAGAAAATTGTAACAGGAAAACTAGTGAATTTTACTTACTCACATGTGTTAGAGAAAACCCCACAACAAGCTTTTCAGGCATTCCGCGGTTTTCAGGAATTTAGCTCTACACTTCAGCCATATCTGAAAGTCTGAGAAGCGCTAAACGCCTAAAAAGCTTGTGGGGTTGCACTCTTATACATTTCGAAAGCGGGCGGATATAAAATTGAATAATGCCGCATTTACACGTTGAAAAAATCGCTTTCAATTTATTCAAATCAAAAATCATCAAAAACTTACTTCCCAAAAATATGACCAGATGTTGAAACCGAACGAAAAATTGGCTATCGTCTTGAAAGAAAAATTGTTTTCAAGCGAATAGACAATTTGCAAAAGTAAAAGCGTATTAGTAAAAACTTGCGAGTCTATGTAAGTTGAAAGTAATTTTCTAAACATGTAAATCCCAAGTAAATAACGAACAGCTGATTGCAGTTTACCCACTACCAGAAAAATTATCAAGTTTGTCACCACTATGGTGGAATCAAAAAGGTGTGATCAGTAGATTCATCTCACCTTTTCGGCAGTTCTATTTCGGACACACGTTTATGTCCAGAACTCCTTTATGCGTAGGCGG